CACAGCCACCTTCCCACCCTCCCGACTCTCCCCCGTCCCACTCCTTCTAGCCAACTCGCGCCTCTTCTTCCTCTTTCTACCACAACGTAGCGCTCTCTCTCCGTCCGTCCTGCTCTCTCACCTCGCCGATCTTCCGTCTCTCTCCTGCATTCTGCCGATCTATGTACATAGAGTACGGGGGGTACACACGCCGTGTGGATTCGGAGCGGGCAGTTGGTGGGGGTACGTAAGGCCATAGCCACGGCCACCGAGTCGCACACACTCTCGCTTAGCGGCAGGCGAATACACGCACTTACACAACCAGCGACCGTTGTCGCTCCGCTTCTCGCGTGTGCGCCTGTAGGACGAGCAAGAGAGTACGCGAGCGCACACGATTCTACCTCTAGAGCGCTTCGTCGATCTCGTGTATCGTCGTACGTTCGTATATCGCTGTCGCACGGAAGCGTTTCGCGGGACTATTTTATAACCGGAATCGCGAGCTAACGAGAAAGTGGAATTGCGTGTCTTTTTTTAACTCGACTCTTTTCTTCATTTTTCACTATCTATCTTTTTCATCGTACGATTCTGTTTCGTTTCGAACGAAACACAATTGCGTGTGGTAATCGTGTGTGGAAAGAAGATACGTCGAATATGAATTCGTGAAAAGCCAAGAGCCACTTCTTTTCGTTCTGACGAGAGAGAGAGAGAGAGAGAGAGACTTGGCGCGCAACACGGTCAACTGTAAACGCGAGAGCACCTCCGTGCCACGAATATACATAGACCCGGCGCACGTGTACACGCGGCGAAGTTTAGCCGAGAGTCGTAGCCGAGAGAATATACGCTCGGTGTGTAATTTGTTCTATATTCAGGGGGCCACTCTAGCCGGGCTGTATCTATCGCACATATGTACCCGGACAGAATATATGTCTTCATGGACATAGGCGAGGGTGTACAAGAATGTAACCACCGTGCGACTGAATGCACACCAGCCGCACAATGTCTTCCTCTACCGACCACGTTCT